GAGTTGCTGGGATTACAGGTGTGCACCACCATGCCCGGCTAGTTTTTGTATTTTTAGTAGAGATGGGGTTTCACCATGTTGGTCAGGCTGGTCTCGAGCTCCTGACATTGTAATCCACCTGCCTCAGCCTCCCCAAATGCTAGGATTACAGGCATGAGCCACCGTGCCCGGCCAAAGTCTGTTTTATCTGATATAAATGTAGCTACTCTTGCCTGATTTTGGTTTCCATTTGCATCAAACATCTTGATTCATTTCTTCATTTTCAGTCTATACATGTCCATATAGATGAAGTGAGTTTCATGTAGGCAGCAAATAGTTGGGTTTTTTATTTTTAATCCATTCAGCTAGTCTGTATCTTTTAACTAGAGAATTTAATCTATTTACATTTAAGGTTATTACTGACAGGTGAGGACTCCTGTCATTTCACTGTTTTCTGGTTTTGCTACCCCTTGCTCCTTCCTTCTGTTATTGTTTATCATTGCAATTGGGTTGTTTTCTATATTGATATGGTTTTATTCTTTTCTCTTTCTCTTTTGTTAATCTGCTCTACCAGTGAGTTTTATGCTTGTGTGTGTTTTTATGATAGTGACTATTGTCTTTTGCTTCCAGATATAGAACTGCCTTGAGAATTTGTTAGACCAATGTAGTGGTAATGAATTCTCTCCATTTTTACATGTCTGGGAAAGACTTTATTTCTTCCTCATTTCCAAAGGATAGCTTTGCTGCATGTAGTATTCATAGTTAGAATTTTTTTTTCTTTTAGCACTTCGAAGATATCAGCTCCTTCCTTTCCAGCCTGTAAGGTTTCTGCATAGAAAACTACTGTTAGTCTAATGTGTATTTCCTTATATGTGACTTGATTTGGAGACCTATGGATTTCTTGGGCTTGGATATTCATACTTTTTCCCAGACTTGGGAAGTTTTCAGCTATTATTTTATTAAATAAATTTCTTATGCCTTTTCCTTTCTTTTTTCCTGAAACTCCAATAATATGAATATTTGTTCTTGTATGGTATCCCTACAAGCTTTCTTCACTCTTTTTCATTCCTCTCTCTTTCTCTCTCTCTCTCTCTCTTTCTCTCTTTCTCTCTCTCACTCCCTTACCCCCCGGGTATTTCAAATGACCTTTCTTCAAGTTCAAAATTATTTCTTCTGCTTTATCAAGCCTGTTGTTGAAGCTCTCTGTTGTCATTTTGTATTTCATTCTTTGAATTATTCAGCTGCAGAATTTCTGTTTGGTTCTGTTTTATGATTTCTATATATTTGTTGAATTTCTCATTCTTATGAATTGTTTTGCTGATTTTGTTGAATTATCAATATGTGTTTTTTTTGTATCTAATTGAGTTTCCTTAAGATCGTTATTTGGCAATTTCTTTTCCAGTAGTTCATTGATTTCCTTTTCATTGGAGTCTGTTACTAGAGATGTATTCCTTTAGTGGTGTCATATTTTCTTGCTTTTTTGTGTTTCTTGTGTCCCCATGTTGATCTGTGAGCCTGGTGGAACTATTGCTTCTTTCAGACTTTCTAGGGCGGTTTTGTAGAGAAAGACTTTCACCTGTAGTTGGGTTTTGATGTGCTGCTTGCAAAGGGTGTGGTGAGTTTCTGAACAGGTGCAATGGTGTAGTCTCTATGCAGCTTTTTCAGTTGCATTCAATGTCAGCAGTAACTGTGAGTACCTCAGTGGCCTAATGCATAGAACTTTGTGTCAGTGGTAGCATTGGCATAGGTTATTAATATCCTTGGTGTCAAGGGCTTTTGGATTCCTCCTATTCTTGTTCACAATAGGGAAGAGTCAGCTGAAGGGATCCTCTTGGTGTCAGGTCTGACATGTCCTCCAAGCAGCTACAATGGCACTGGGCTCAAAATATGGTGCTTGGAGTGACTGTAGGGCTGGAATCCAAGGTCTTGTGAATTGATTGTGGCACCTGGTTCCTGGGGTTCAGGTTCACTCTCTGTGGCAGAGTTGGGTGTAGGTTATCCAAAGAACCAAGTTTTATGACTCTGAGGCGCCCCCTAGCAGCTTGGATCCAGGTGCCCTGGTTGTACCTGTGATTTTATACCTGCTGGGTATGGTGTAGCACTGACCAAACTCCAAAGAAAAAGATTTTGGCCAAGGAAGCAGGGTATGGCTGCAGCTCAGGAAACTGAGCCAATGGGGCTCAGCGGCAACTGATAAGGTACTGTGTAGTAGTGACTTCAGACCCATGGATGGTGGGGCTACACACACAGATCCTTGCCTCATACTCTGAGGCTAGGTGCAGCAGCAGCAAATACCTTAGAATGGCAGAGCACAGCTGTGGTTTGATCGCCAGGAGGATAGGAATCAACACAGAAATTACTCAACTCCCCAGAAATAGGGTTATCTCGGCAGCTCAGACTCTAAGGGGCTATTGCCTAGCTTCAGAAAAGCAGGGTACTAGAGTTATTTGGCCTGTAGGTCAGGGTATCTTGGCTCAACCAGTGCTCTGCTTCCCTAGGACATGAGCAACTACATCAGCTCAGCCCAGATGCATAGGTGCTCAGCTTGGCAAAGTGTATGCCAGATAATTTCTAGGACTTGCCATAACAGAGCAATAAGTCTGGGAAAAGGATGATTAAAGAAGATTAAAACAGAGGCTATCTCTAATGTCTGGATGGGGCTAAGGGAAACCAACAAAGGAATCTGCAGCACCCAGATAGCTAACAACAGTGAGTTTTTCTTACCACCTCTTAGTCTGAAGGAGCAAAGAAAGACGATGGTACCCGAACTTGGGAAGATTCATAGCTATGGGAGAGGACTGCGCAACAGCAGCTGTTGCCCTCAGTAGTAGAGATGCCCTAACCACCACCAAACTGTACCCCAGGAGGAAAAGAACAAGGGGAATGAAAACCCTACTTTTCTTTCTCTCTTCTACCATCTAATTTCTTACTGGCCCCTCTCTTTGGCTGAGCCTCACCAGAAGCCAAAGTGATGGGAACCTGGTTAAAATGGTCCATTAGAGGTCAGCCTCTGGGCCACAGCACAGAGTAGACAATAGTGATGTGATCTGGAGAGGCAAACAGAAAATGAAACAAATCTTTGTCTTTGTAAGGCTTATATTCTAGAATATATAATGCACTTAACACTCTATCTAGCATACATTGTGGGTTCAATAAATATTAGTTATTGGTAGTATTGTTTACAGTAATAATATTATGGAGAGAAGATTTTTAAGACTTTTCTAATAAATAAATTTCCAGTTTTACTTTGATTGTACTTTCAGTAGTAGAGTATTTTTTCTTGACCATTCCCTAAGGTGTGTGTATGGTTTATTTTACTTTATCTTATTTTGGTGGCTAAAATAACAACAATGACAAAACACACACACACACATAACATTAAATATACCTTCTTAACAGTTTTTAAGCTTATAGCTTGGTAGTGGTAAGTATATTCACATTGTAGATACCTAAGATTTTAAATAGAGTTATGGGTCACTTAACCAAGATATATTCTGAGGAATACATTGTTGGGCAATTTCTTATTGTCTGACCATCATAGAGTGTACTTACACAAACCTGGATAGTTTAGCCAACTACGCACCTAGCCTACATGGTGAAACCTGTTGCTCCTAGGCTACAAACCTGCACAGCATGTTACTGTACTGAATACTGTATGCAATTATAATGGTAAGTGTTTATCAAAACAGAAAAAGTACAGTAAAAAATATGGTAGTCTTATGGGACCACCATCATATATGCAGTCCAACATTGATCAAACTATCCTTATGCAGCACATGACTATACTTACGAGGCAGACATCTTTAGAAAGAAATCTTTTAGCAAGGGTAGAGAATTAATATTGTCTCAGGATGTTTTCTTAGGCAGAATTTGAAGCATTTCTTTTCAAAACTCCAAGCTAAATCATTGCCCCTGACAAGTGACTTTCCTGAGATCACATCAAATCTATCAGATTAATCTTACAGAAAAGTGCTTTTCACCAAGTTATAAGAAATTAGTAGGGCAGGTTTTATCTCTTATACCATCAGTATGAGAACACAAACAATGAAAATCTTGTTTTTCATTTTCAAAAGTAATATTTAACCTAGGTCATTATAGACACTGGAATCGTTTTTTTTTTTTTTTTTTT